GGAGTGGTTTGGTCGGCTGTAGCCTCTAATTCAAGGCTGTTGAGAGTAGTCAGAGACGGCAAAAATCAGACGGCAACGCAGTTTTTTCCCTTCCATTTCACCTTAGGGGGCTCCATAGAGTCCTTAAAAAAATCTACAGTCACATTCACATTTTCTTTTAACTTCACTACCTCCCATCACGATAGTTTTAACTTTGGTATGTGTTAAAAAGCAAGAGCAAATTATTGTATGTCACTAAAGGGATATAGACAGCTATAATAAATGTCTTCAATATCACTGTCTTTACAGGATGGACTAATGTGCTGGTCAAACCCAAATTTTGTAGTTTAATCAAAAACTCAAGTGGAATGGTTCACTCGCTGTTCAGAGGAAAACACAAGGGAACACACAAACACGCGCGTACTCACTCTCTCACACACACACACACACACACACACACACACACACACACACACACACACACACACACACGAAACAAAGCCTACGGTGTGCTGAACAACTGTGAATGAAGCAGTCGAACCCCTCCCAAATTGCAGCCTTTGCGATTTGAAAATTGTATCCTTCTACATTACGATGTCAATTTTGATTTGGATTCATTGGTCAGACTTACTAAAAACAGTCAGATCAGGATTCAGCCGACACCTGTCGATTGGGTTTTTTTCGTGACACTTACTTGATCCTGCAGAGCCAGCTGCCGTGGCTTTTGTCTTCATACTCAAACTCCAGCTCTTCGCCTAATGTTAAATATAAAGCAATACTGCATTATTAAGAGTCAACATTTCCTGCCGTCTCTTGCTGTGGATTGACAGGAAGTCAAATTACCTTCCCTGTCATAAAACCCCTGTAAGGCCTTTTTAGGGTCCTTTAAGTAAGCAGCTTCCTGGTCTTCTTGGAACTCTGTTGAGAAGGGGTTCTCCTCATTTTCGTCTTGTTCTGGGAGCTGCTCCTCGGCTGCACGGGAAATTTATGGTGACACAAGCAGTAAAAGGAAAACAGAGAATGTTTCTTTCTCAACCCAGCACTTCCAAACACAGTCACTAAAAGCTCACCCATTCCCCAAGAACAGCCCGAGTCTTCACTGGACACTTTGCTCTTGCCGCTTGTTACTTCATCCTTGTCCTCTCCCTCGTCATCATCAGGCCCCTCTCCCATCATTCTCTTCTCTAGCTCCGCCCTCTGTTTCCTGCCTTGCTCCCTCAGCTCTGTGACTGTCAGTTCAGACTCTTCTTCCTCATCAAACTCTGGACCCTGGAAGGAGACGACGTTATTTGCATGAAGTCGGAAAAAGTTTATGAGGTAACGGCCTTTTTTTTTCCTGCCCTAACTAATCTTCTTCGTAAGTCACACATGTAAAACTGTCACACCTAAATGGAAAAGAGCAGTTACTGTACATAACTCCAAAGTTTGTGCTTTGAAAAGTCAAATATATTGATGTTAATTACAGCAAAGTCAGAAATAGTGAAATGTTTAATGTAAACTACGTGTATGAATTGTAAACAGTCAAAGTTGGCTGAGAAAAAACCTTGCAATAAAACACGAATATTCTGCTGTGTAGTTTTGATCTTAACCCAAACAACAACAGTGCAGCATGTGCTGCCAATTTCTATGTACCGTACACGGCATCTAAATAAGGGCTCAGCAACCTTTTTAAAGCTGAGAGCTACTTCTTATCTATCGATTGATGCGAAGGGCTACCACTTTCAAACACACTTCTAAAATAACAAAAGTGCTTGGATGGCTTTGAATAAATTTAGATTACGCAAGTCTTGCCCCTCCACCCGAGGACTGGCGCTGTCATTTGTTTGGGTGTGAAACGTCATGCCATTAAAGAATAATTAAATAAGAATCTTAACATAGAAATTGTGGAAAAACAAGCTGTACCTGTAGGATGAACAGTCTCGTGCTGCCGCCGAACTTAAGGACATGTCCAACACGGAGTCTGATGAACGTTTTAGGAGGAATTTTGTTCTTGTTTACGACTGTGCCGTGTGTGCTGCCCAAGTCCTGGATGTAGAAACCTCGATCCTCGCCGACAGACTCCCCTTCGCCGGCATGTAGGCGGTACTGGATGACAGCATGGTACCTGGAAATGGACGGGTGTTCTAGAGAGACGTCACACACCGGTAAACGCCCAACCACAAAGTAGCCTCGATGCCTGAGGGGCACCCTGTCCACTATGGTGCCGTTTTTTAGAATTTCAAGAGCATAGAGGTCATCCGGAGCAGGGCCACCCCACTTAGGCTCTGTGTATGGGAGAGGAGGGAACTTGCCAGCAGCAGGAACCTTGGACGGTAGCACCCTGTGTTTAGATTCTGGTTTCACGTTTAGTGAAGCGACGTCTCTGTGTTCATCACCATTTGTATTCTTTTCTGGCCCAATCTCCGACGTTTCGTTGTCGTCTTCTGGAAATACAGATGGCTCACAATTAGATTCCTCAACGTGTGCTTGCTTGCTTTCTTTCCCGGGATTCCTCTCGGCTTCGGGTTTGGAGGAAGCAGGAGCGCTCAGGCTGCGTTTGCTGGCGAGAGAAGACGCAGCGAACGCAATTGGTTTTTTAAAAGGGTCCGTTGTTTCCTGATCAGCTCCAGGCATTTCGTTCTTTTCGGATTTCGTGTCATTCTCTGCGAGCAAGCGCTCGTCCGTTCCCTTCGCTGAGTTGGTCTCTTTTTCATCCGACTTTATTGCGCTCACGTCGAGCTGCTCGGAGGCGGCCATGTTTGTTTGGTGCGATGGTCTATTTAGTCCGGGTCTTGTTTTCATATTTGAACGGGGAAGAAAAACTAATCAGAAAGAAAATTAATACTAACATTACATTTAAAAATGTTTACACAAAAAATACATTTTTTGGGTGTTCACCTGAATAAAACAAACGTGTTACCGTGGTGCATTTTTCTTCCGGAACAAAATACTTCATTTTGTATTTTACCGGACTGTGTTTCAAGAACAAGTGAAAGGCTTATTTCCTGCATAAGAGTTCAAATAACACCGAAGCACGTTGGTTGCGCATCTTGCTATACAAACATTAGAAAACGCTTCTTTTGTTGAAAAGGTGAGGCACCATTGCTTAACTTATTCTTACTTGAGTAGATACATTTGTGTCGATTTGATCTGCATGTTCGTAGCACAGTTGTCTCGTCCCAATGCATTGCGTTGGGACGACGCTGTGCTTTTCCAAACTCAATGGAGAACTACATCCGTTGGCTTTCGATTTGTATTTACATGAAGTAGAAATACAATCTATTTTATTAAGCTACGCGAGATAATTTGACAACAGTAACGCATGATGCGTTATCCTAATTGTTGCTGGAATGTTAACGATGGAGTTTTTTTATTTCATCATTTTGACGATTTTTCATGCACGTAAGTCTACATAGAGAGCCGCCTGAAGGTTGCTTTTAGAAATGAGGGAAAACTTGCTTTCTCGTACAAAATGTTTAACGATTGAAGATTGAATGGCTGAAATGTAGAGGATTTGGACAGTTTAAATCAAACAAGGTCTTTTTAAATAAATAGTCAATGATCAAAATTATTGTTTGTAAATGTAAAAATCGAATAATCTATGAACTGTTGCACCTCTATTCTAAGATCTCCACTAAGATCCAAACTTCAGATTTGTAAATACTGTATCTGGCTTATTCCCATAAATACCAGTTAATTCCCATGAAAAGTTTAGACGTTTGAACATTTGCAACTCTACTTGTCAGTCAGTATGACATGTCAATATTTGGAAACGTCTCACACTGTAGGGCTCCTTTTTTTTTTTTTTCATCCCTTCTTAGTATTCCAGGAGCATTTCGTCTGTGATCTCTCATCATGATGCGCTACTGGGGCGAGATCCCTGGGCCCGCAGGGGCTCCCGCCAGTCGCAGCTCCTTTGATTTGCTCCAGCGTGAGTTTCGATCGGTTGAGATGCAGGATCCTCCGCTTCATCAACCCTCGGCCCAGCGTCCACGCCCCACCACGATGCTGGACGTCCCATCAGAACCTTGTAGTCTCACCATTCACACAGTGCAGCTGTGCCAGCACGCCCGCCGCCTCCGTGGCCTTTTGGCGGCAGCTCAGGGTCAAAGCTCGACGTCTTCCGAGGTTGGGGGCAGGCTGGAGGATGTTGAAACAAACCTGCCACTGCGCCCTCCCACCCCACCTGCCATGCCAGATGACTTGCTACCACCTGACTGCAAAGATTCTTGGAAACCCTTTCAGCTCCGCCACAGTGACCCTGAAAGTGACTTTTATAAGTAAGTTCATCTGCTTTTGTCAACAACATAAGTTGTGGTCAACCTGTTGTAATTCGATTCTGAAACATTAAAGAATAGGACATGTGTATTCAAATGTTTAGAGAAGGTCCAATGAGGTTACTCTGTCAAGGTTATAGTGCGTATATAAGTTTGAGTTCATCCGTCAAAGGGTAAAATCCAACTCAAACTGCTCTCTATTTGTGTTCAGTATCAAAATTAAGTGAGCAAGCAACCAGTGCTGCGTAACTTAGCCAAGGGCACCTCAACAGTAATCGGGAAACAGATTTCCATCCCTCCAACAACTAGATGCCGTTTTTACGTTTGTCTGCAGCGAGAATCGTGACCCTCCGGTTTCAGATGAGCAAGTGTTTACGCCAAGTCTTTGGTTCCCCTTCGTCTTCTCCCATTATCAGGGGTAGAGGGGAGCCAGTCACAGAGCTGAGTTGGCCCTCCTGCAGGCAGCTCCTTTATCAGTCGGTGGCCACCATCTTGGCCCACGCAGGCTTCGAGACGGCCCAGGAGAGCGTGCTAGAAACTCTGACCGACCTGGTTCACGAGCACTACCTACGCCTTACCCGCCTCCTGCGGGTAGCTGTGGACCGGGAGGCCCGGCTGGGGGCCAGTCCCTTTCCTGACGTGATGGAGCAAGTTTTCCATGAAGTGGGCATCGGCAGTGTGCTTGCCCTCCAGCACTTCTGGCAAGTGCGCATCAAGGATTATCACAGTTACATGTTACAGGTGAGGGAAGACAAGTTTGATGACTCGCCTCAGGCTCAAGTAACATTGTTGAGCGAGGGTGCATGTGCTCTTTGCTGCAAAAATGTTGAGTAGCGGATTTGAAAAAAAATCATTTAAACTAAAAATGTATTTTTTACAGGTTGGGTATGCATTTTATTGAAATTAGTTCCCCTAACCCAAGTGTTTTGATAAAAGCAATATGCAAAAAAAGGTGGACATTTATCCGTATGTCCATATAAATTCTGACCATATAATAACCACCCGGAGCTGTAGACAATGGAGGTCCGGTTTTTTGTGTATTCGTGTTTTTCATTTTTAACTGCTGATAAGGACTGAAAATGGGTTTTGCCTTTACAGGTTAGTAATGATCTGTCAGAAGAATACGAAAGGTTGGTGAATCCTGAAAAGTCTCTGGATGACTCAAAGCCCCTCAGGATCAAGGAGGAGCCCATGAGTGACATTTCCTTCCCTGTTAGTGAAGAGCCAGAGGCCGACCTAGCGTCTGGGGACCAAACCTTGCCCATGGGTGTCCTTGGGGCTCACGGTGAGAGGCTGTCCGCAGGCCTGGATGCCGACCACTCTCCTCACACCTCAAGTGAGTCCTATTTTTATTAACATTTGCAACGAAGAATTCAAGTTCTCTTTTGGTGCATAAGGTCGCCTGAAGAAAAGCCTCAGAGGCAAATGCACAACCGGAGCTGCAACGTGGTTGTCACATGACTTTGACCCCCTTGATTAAGCTTTCCTCCTATCACTTCACTCAACATAATCTATTCTACAGATAGGTGCACAGTGAAATGTGTTCAGTTTATGACTTCAACGGAATGCATTTTGTTGAGAAGTCAAATAAAGAGACTAGAAAAATAACCAAGCAAGTGCTTGAATGAATGCTGTAACGGAACAGTGGTACCTGAAAGACGGTAATAGAAATTGTGAATTTTGATGATCACGGGGCCCTAAGCAGGTGCTTCGTGTTTGTGCTTTCAGCTGAAGTCTGACCATTTTCCTCATTTTTTTCTAAGGTGGTGGTGTGGCCAACAACTCCCCCTTGTGGCCACAGGTAAAAGTGGAACCGCACGATGGTGAGGAAGGCCAGGCTGCCTCTCATCATCCTCATCACCATCACCACCTGGGTGGAGATGTGTTTGAGGAGGGGGACCCCATGTCGACAATGAGCGAGTCGGGAGCTGCCATGGCCTCGTCTCCCGCTGGCGCGGCATCCGATGGCAGCTTTGCTTCACATTCGCCGGAATCCCTGATGAGCACCTCACCAGTCTTCAACCAGAGACCCAAGAAGCGAGCGAAAAGGATGTGAGGTTGCGTTGTGTCGCGAAGGAGACACACTGAACTCGCCAAGACAAAACATATGTTGACGGGGATGTTGAATGAAATTGTTCAAGGAAGAAAAATACACGATTGTTTTTAGCTGTTATAGTTTGTGGGCAATTAATTCATCAAGTATATGCACATGACTTTTGATCCATCCATGCATTTTCTATAATACTTGTCATCATTAGGGTCGTGGTTAGCTGGAGCCAGTTGACTTTGGGGAAAGGTTATATACATCCCGATCTAGTCGCCATTCAGTCACAGGGTGATACACAATCTGGTAGCAGGCAATACAAAAACAACTTTTTATAGAGCTAATATCAGTAAGGTTTTTCGACCAATATTATTGTGGATGTAGTTTACAGTGTAGATTCTTTTATTTTGGTCACATTTTGACGACATGAGTGGTAACGACACCAATGAAGTGTCAACATAGTGAAGTTGCTGCCATTTTTAGTCATTTATTAGGAAAAGACTTTGGATTTGGCTTGTGTTTTCTTGAGTTTATGAGGTACACATGATGCAAAATGTTGCTATGAAACGTTTTTTTTTAAAAAAAATAATAATCATTTCCATAATTGAGTTGAATGCTTTGTTTTCTTTCAATTTCATATTTCATCTGCACAGCCAGGACCAAAATCTTGAGCGTGTTGCCACATATTATTTTTAACTCCTCATTCCTCCTCCACACACACGTTTACATGTCGGGCTCGGTAACGCATTCCACTCGGGGCTGCACTGTACACGTCTCACACACGCACGCACGCACGCACGCACCTATCAACCTTAAGATGTTCTGCTAAATTAGCATCTGTTCCAGCCAAGCTGACAGAGACACCAGCAGGAAGTGCCGTTTGGTTGTCCACATTATGAAGACAACGTGCATTCAGCCTTAATGGCAAAGTAATTGCTTAATTTTTCCTGCTCAATGAGCTGATATATTCAAATACACGGGCAGTTTAGTGTGCATGCTCCGAGTGGGAGAAGTGCTTCTAGCCAGGTTTATACTGAAGTCTAATTAAGTCCTGTGATGGCTAAGTCATGGTTGTCTGAACACACTTAAAAAAAAAAAAAGGTCTGTACTGTTCCTCCATATGTGGCAATAAAGTGGCATGGTTAAGAGTAGTTGGGTGTGTATACTGTGCTTAAGGAAGCTTAATTCCATGCTCACTGGTGTCAATTGGAGCATAAGTCTCTCACTAACGTTTAGATGACCAAACTTGCAAAATATGGACGTTTCCGAAATTAAGAATTGCCGGTCTTAATGCGTCGTTGTTGACAACCGATGAAAGGGATTTAAAAAAATGTTCTTAGAGGTGACTATTCCGCCATCGTTTTGCAAGGTAACAACTCAACACAAGGCTGTGATATAATTACTGTCGGGCCATACTGGCAATTTAACGGAAAAAAAAAAAGTTTTTTTTTTTTTTTGGTTTTAAATGGCCAAGTCCCTTTTAAATGGACTTTCGAACTGATGTTGCATATCAAAACAGTGTCTTAGTTCATCTATCCGCCACTGGAGGGCAGCGTTGTGTTGCATGCAAACGACAGCATGGCAAGAAGCCCCCCCTCCCCCCACTCCCTCTGTTCAGCGGAGGCTTCAGTGCTACTGCAGTGATACCAATTACCAGACATCGGATTCGTCCAGAATGTTAACAAATGGCTTAATTTCGCACTACATAGTCCCAAATCGCTTGCTGTTACTGATATTTTATTTATATAGCACCACATTACATTTCGCTTTTGGCGTAATGTTATTTCCAAATACAAATGTCCAAACAAAAGAGGAAACTGAAACAAAAGCTCCCATTACACATGACAAATAATTGCAAAATAATACAAATAAAGATATCACACCAGTTCTCCATGGTATTTCTTTCCACACTTGTCATATTCTACGCTTGTATACATAGACCAGGGGTGTCAAGCTCATTTTTGTCGGGGGCCACATTGTCGTTACGGTTTCCCTTCGGAGGGCCGTCATGACTGTGAATTTTGTAAAACCATATAAATGTTGAACCACCTCCACGTATTATACACATGGCGGACAACAAATTGATGGGAGAGCTTGTTTTAAAATCACAAGTCAAGAATAATGGCTTGTTCAGATATTGTCGTCATGGATTAGATATGACAATATGATTTTTGGTTCAGACTTTAGCAAGCATCATGGAAGTTGGCATGCTCGATTTGCTTCCGCGGGCCACATAAAATGGTGTGGCGGGCCAGATCTGGCCCCCGGGCCTTGACTTTGACACGTGTGACATAGACTATATGGAAGCCAAAACATACAGCATATTTGATAATAAGCTGGAGTTTGACACATATACTGTACCCATGCATGCAATTGATTTTAAAGACTCGTTGAACTCATGTAGCTACAGTAGCTCCCCCTATAATTGTCCATCACATCGGTCAGCAGATTTCAGTTTCTTTCCACCTCAAAGTGTTGCAGCACCATCTTGCTGTAGATCATTAGAGACTCTGCCGTGCCTGCATACAACTGACACTACTTGCATTTCCCATCCGATTCTGCTTCAATTGATGTGACCGAGGGCTACAGTGTGCGTTCACATCAAGCACTGAAAGCATTTAATGTGATGTAACGATACTGTGAAGAAGCACTCCGGTATCTCACTTCTCACCCAAAAGCTTCAATAATGCCACTTTATCTTTCATTGTCTATAATTTAAACATTCATGACATTGCCATAACAACAGTGAGTTATCACAGCTTGAAATTAGGCGCTGGCTTGACAAATGCTTTTCTGTATGAAATTGGCTTCAGTTGGGTCTCCTTATGGCTTTTAATAAGAGAAGTGTCATCTTTGATCTGCTCCACGTGTACTACTTTGAGACAACTTTTGGCGCAATATAAATAAAATTGACTTGAATAGAATAGATTGAAAATTCTGTAGTAAGCACAAAAAAAAAAAGGTTCACATGTTGTCATTGGGTCCCCTAACTTTCCAGATCACCCACTATTCTTGAAAAGTGTGTGTGTGTGTGTGTGTGTGTGGGGGGGGGGGGGTTCTGTCTTTTTGGACAGTCAGAAAGTGTTGTGAGCCAACATTTTTGTCACACTGCAGTTGTGTGACTGCCGCCTTATTTGAGTTGAAGCTGTTTGACACCATTCCATCCCATCTGCTGTTTGTTGCCACATTTTCGAAAGCTGTCAAAACACTTTCAGACACTCCAAAACGAAATGAGAAAACGACTGACAGAAACGATGCCTTGCCTCGTAATAGTCAAGTCAAGTCAGTTTTTATTGTCAAATATGCTCTATGTGCAACATACAGCAAAGATGAAATTAACTTTCCTCTCTCAACCACAGTGCAAACATGTAATGCACTGAAACACACACAGCTCAAAATAATGGCAGCAACCTGAACTGCATAAAAATACATAAAGACATAAATAGCTCACAGTTTTTAATCATAGTTATTGGTTATTTGCACCCCTCAGAAAATAAATTCAGTTAAGTTATGCAGAAGAACCTGTTCAAACGATCAACCGAGACTTTTATCAAAAGTTAACGATATCTATGCCACCTAAACAGTCAGGTTATTTGCAATCAAAAGGGCCAAAAGGAGGTACGGAAGCACATCAAATAATGTGTGTGTCTGTGATGCTCTCTTTTTCACCAGCTCGAAAAATATATTTTCATTCTTAATTGCTGTCACATCCACACTCATAAACAAAGGCGATGAAGCAATAAAAGGAACATGACAAACCTAATCTTTGTTTTGATGTTGTCCTCCTTTCATGTCCCGAATTTGAGCCGTCTTTTCTTCTTCTGATTTGTGTTTGTTGAAAGGAACAGTCTCTTGTTTTGTAGCGTCATGCCTCCTTTCTCTTTTGATAAAATGATAAAACCTCAGGATTCAATGAATCTACACCAGTGTTTCTTAACCTTCTTCGAGGTACCGAACCCAACCAGTTAATATGCACATTCACTGAACCCTTCATTAGTGAAAAATAAATATATATATTTTTTCAAATTCAAGATATTAAAAAAAATGCATTTATTAAAAAAAGAAATAAAGTACATAAAATTTCAAGAGATAAGTATATTGGTTTTTGTACGACGTACTATCACGACAGTCACACGTTGACTACTGAGCAAAGTAAATTTCCCGCAGCACTGTTTGGACAAGCAATGTACCGTATTTTCCGCACTAAGAGGCGCACCTAAAAGCCTTCCATTTTCTAAAAAGCTGTGAGCGCGCCTTAAAATCCGATGCGCCTTGTGTATGGTTATTACGGTAATATGTCGACCCCCAAAATGGCTCCTTGCTAGAGACATGCTTGCAAGGCAGAGTTCAAACTTAAGGCGGGTTACGCAGTTGAACACGGAAATAGAGCAGCGGCAAGAGAGTTCAACGTTAATGAGTCAATGTTGTAACTTGTTGGTTAAGTGAACTGTGTCGCTGCTTTATTAAATAAGTTTTACCGACATTCCTTGAGCGTGGCTCCAGCTAGTGGATACATTGTAGATTGCGTCTTATAATGTGGTGCGTCCAATATATGAAAAAAAATAACAAAATAGGCCATTCATTGAAGGTGTACCTCATAATCCAGTGCGCCTTTTAGTGTGGAAAATATGGTAATGTGACCATCTGCAACCAGTGATGGCCAAGCGGGCGTGTCATAACTAATTGACATGTTGAGTCGATGTCTTAACCTCCATGGCAGAGGCTCCGTCGAGTCCCTCAGACTGATTCACCGAACCCCTCGGGTTCGATCGAAGCCAGGTTAAGAACCACTGATCTACACGATGATGCAAAGACAACCAGAAAGGTGCTGCACGCATGACACACGTGCATTGCCTGATCCCATTTAAGAATAAAAAAGTGGTTACCGTATTTTCTGGACTATAAGTCGCTCCTGAGTATAAGTCACACCAGCCAGAAATTGCATAATAAAGAAGAAAAACATATATAAGTCACACTGGAGTATAAGGCACATGTTTTGGGGGGAAATGTATTTGGTAAAATCCAACACCATTGACAGACATGTCATCTTGAAAGGCAAATATAAATAAAAATAGAGAAAAACAGGCTGAATAAGTGTACGATATGCTAACTTTACATGACGCATAAAAAATGAACTAAGATTGTGCCTGGTATGTTCACGTAACATATTAAGAGTTATTCAGATAACCATAGCATAAAGAAGATGCTAACAAGTTGACCAAACCGTCAGTGTCGCTCCAAATCACTAAATGCAATGAAATCTTCATCCTCTGTGTCACTTTTAAAGAACTCCAGAGAACTTCTGGATGTAGAAAATGTGGCGCTTCTTCTTTTACGTCGCTTACATCAGAGTCACTGTCGGCTGTTTCTATCAGTTACCTCCAATGTGGAAAGTATCAACACATGCCTACAGCACCCGCTTTTGCAGTTTAATGTGAAAATAACGTGAAATGATATCATGTGTTAATCATTTCACACATAAATCGCTCCAGAGTATATAAATCGCAACCCGGGCCAAGCTATGAAAAAAAGAAAACAGGGATTTGTAATCCGGAAAATACAGTATACAACAAGCACACATGAAGTGCTGTCGCTTGCGTATAAAATCGGGAATCGACTAAGTGAACAGCATCTCACATCTGTGACAGTATGTTTTTGGGGGTTGTACCTTAGCTTTTGGTGTTCATAGTATTTCCTTCTTTCCCCGACCCACCCTGAGAGTTAGAAGAGCACCATCGTGTCATTTTCCGTAATGAATGTCCACTTCTTCATGCATGAAACAAGTGAGTACATTTTGATTCAAGTAATTCTTTGCCATAAATTCTTTGTGTTGAAATGCAGACGGCGGTCTTCCTTTCCAACTTGGTGGCGTGCACTGTATAGCATGATTTTCAAGTTTAACTTAAATATTTTTTGTTCCGCAATAATTTAATAGAAGTTTTGGCTATGTTCACACCGCTGCTCAATTCAGATTTTTTTCTCGTCCATATGCCACATGTACAATACTGTATCCATTTTTTTTCATGCACTGTGAACAGAACAATTCAGACTTTTTTCAAATTGACATGGGCCTTTTTTGTACATGTTTGTGGATATGAATCCGATATATCTGCAATGCGTCTGCAGTATGAATGCTCATCAGCACACATCC